GGAGATCTTTTTTAAAGGTTAAAAACTCATTCAGTTTTATGTCTTACAGGGCTTATACTGAGTTCAATATTGTATAACCGTATTAATTCAACTGTGAACCTAGAAACTTACAGCCACTTGTGAAAGAGTTGTGTCCTTGCTCTGGAGTGTGTTACTGAATATGCTAAAGCTGTAATGAAATGCTCCCTCTAATCACGCGTTTATTAAATTAAAAAAATTTTTTTTTTTAAAAAAGAAGTGCCAAGTTATTCCACTGACAAATAAAATCCCTCATATGACCACTCTTAAACTCTTGCTTACCCTGGTCATGGCATTGTTCCTTTCATCTGCTTTGCTTCAAAATACATTAGATGAAGGCCCAAATTTCACATAGGGATGTTTCTGGTTGCTGGCTTGAGTCTGTAGACTTAGGAGATTCTAAAATTGATAAATGACACAAATTTACTTATTTATAGCTCTCTCCTTAGGTTATAACCACCAACAGATGAGTGAAGGACAAAGACAGAAACCTGAATTTTACAACCGTACGGCATCTGAGTCAAATGTCTACTTGAATAGTTTCCATTATCCAGATCACAGCTACAAGGACCAGGCCTTTGACACATTGAGCCTGGACAGCTCCGATAGCATGGAAACCAGCATCTCTGCCTGCTCACCTGACAATATCTCTAGGTAAGGGTTATTGAAAACCATCTGCTGGTTTCAAAGAGAAACTCATCAGTTTGAGACACAATGTGTATATAAGTTCAATTTCTGAGACATAAAATATATGGTGCAAAAGAGGGCTGGGGATCATGGGGACCCTGGAAGTGATTTCCTTGCATCTTGTGTGACTTGGTCAATTATACATCATACTGTTTTCCCACTTTATCCCATTTCCTTATGCTTGAGCTCTGATTAGCACTGTGCTTCAAAATTGAGTTTCTCTGTTGGTGGGATCTAAGCTCCTTTGCCCTTGCTTTTTATTAAGTAGGCAATGACTTCCAATAAGACAGCCAGAATTTCAAACACTTTTAAAATTTTATTATTTTTATTTTATGTGTATGGCTGTATTGCCTGCATGTATGTAAGTGCACCCACTCATGCCATGCAATGCCTGCAGAGGTCAGGAGAGCATCAGACCCCCTAGAACTAGAGTTATTATGGATGATTGTTAGCTGCCATGTGATTGTTGGAAACAGAATCTAGGTCCTCTGCAGGAGCAGCCAGTGCTCTTAACCATTGAGCCATCTCTCCAGCCTCCCTCAAAGGCTTTTTTGACCCTTTTGTTTTGGTAGATTTAGAAGAAAACTTCAGTTGTTCTGTATGTTAAAATTTGTATAAGGATTTAGCCATTCATATTTGTCTTTAAATTTGGGGTAAGCAAAATGGATGCTATGGACTGAGGAGCGAAGGCACATCTGAACTATAAATTGCTGGCGGCAGCTCCCCTCCTCTGACGCTTTGCCCATGAATGCCCTGCTGTCTACTGGGTAATGTGAAACTCAGATCCAGTCTTCCAGATCCAGCCCTACCTTGTTGTCCCCTCCCAACACCCTTCCAGCTCTCTAGAGTAAGGAAGCTCAGAGCTTTGCATCTTGGTTCAAGCTGGTTCTTAACATCTTCTCAAAATATGAGCACAGGCCAGAGCTTGGGAAGTCAGTAAGGCAAGAATAAAAATAGGAGCTGGTGGAGGCAGCATCCAGAATGCTATCCTGTAAGACAATTCAATAGTTTAAGCAGAATGGGGATTTTTTTTTTTAAGGATTCACCCACA